TGATATGAACGTCATTGATTATCGAGTAAACATTCAATACAAAGGCAATTTGGGTCTAATCTAAGTGGTTTTGCGGTGAAGAGTTTCTTGCATACAATTCTGCGGGTAGGGGCGAAGCCCCATCCCCGCGTAAGAACGTAGGAGCCCCCCCCCCCCCTCCCCAACTCAAAAGAAATTTTCTTCATCGATACTCTATAATATAATTACCGCCTAATTAATGTGTCTAATCTAAAAAGTGGTTTTTTCTTGCAATTTCTTTAATGCAATTCTTCGGGTAGTGGCTAAGCGCGACACCAGTGTTTCTTTCTGACTTTTTCCTTCCCGGAGAGGGGTGGGGGTAATTGAAATTTTCGAGGGCGGGGTTAGAATTTTCGGGGAGGGGGGGCGGACACTGGAAAAAGTATATAATTATATTTCGTTGAATGGGACGGTAGACATGTTTTTTTTTGGGAGTGGGGGGGGGGGGGGGGGGGTGGGGGGTGGGGAGTGGGGGGTGGGGGGGGAGGTGTGAGTGGGGGGTGGGTGGGGCGGTGGTTTCCTCATCGATACTCTATAATAAAATTACCGCCTAATTAATGTGTCTAATCTAAAAAGTGGTTTTCTCGCAATTTCTTTAATGCAATTCTTCGCGTAGTGGCTAAGCGCGACACCAGTGTTTCTTTCAGACTTTTTCCTCCCCGGAGAGCGGTGGGGGGTACTTGAAATTTTCGGGGGCGGGGGTAAAATTTTCGGGGAGGGGGCGGACACTGGAAAAAGTATATAATTATATTTCGTTGAATGGGACGGTAGACATGTTTTTTGGGGGGTGGGGGTGGGGTGGGGGTGGGTGGCGGTGGGTGGGGTGGGGGGGGGGGCTGGTGTGTGGGGGGTGGGTGTGGGGTGGGGGGTGGGGGGTGGTGTGTGTGGGGGGGGGTGGGTTGGTTTTAGTTTAGAGAAAAGAGACAGCACTATCAACCTAGCGCCCGGTGTATCCTTCCTCAACGGGCCATTTTTCTCGTTATTAATATTTGTGCATGGAGCTGAAGAGCCGCAACTGGACACCAAAAGAGCCGCATGCGGCTCGCGAGCCGCAGGTTGCCGACCCCTGACCTAGGAGGAATTTTATATTGTCTATATAAACTATATTGTCTTAACATGCGTATATTAACGTTAATACTAAAAAGTATAAAAATAATTAATACATAAAGACGTTTATAATTACAAGCTTTTATAAATGCACTAAAAAGAAGAAAATAATACAATTTTAATGTTAATTATAACTCCTAGAAATTGTTAGATGTTAATCCTATAATTAGTAAACACCAGTATCAACCAGCTATAATATTAATTGCAAGAATATTGTTAAGCTGTGTTGGGGTTATGGCCCGCGTAAGTGCGTGTTCTTATATCTGCGTATTTACTGAAGTCTTAATTAATATGTTAGCGCAGGGTCGGCAACCTGCGGCTCCCCCTCCCCTGATGTCATGGTGCGGCTCTCCAGTTCCATGCACAAAGATTAATAATTGTATAGTTTCATTTTCAAAAGTCATAAAAATATTATACTGTAAAGAAAAACAACTTTAAATAGGATTAAAACACTCACCAGAGAACAGTGAGAATAGGTAAGGTAGAAAGTATACGGGCAGCCGCTTGGGCACCAGGCCCAGCCCCACAGCCGCTGTAAGCAGCACCATGGCGACTATTCCATGTTTGACACTGCCCAAGGGCCGCCCCCCTCGATTGTCTTTACGTGGGGAATGTTATTTTATTCAGAATGCATTCCTCTACCTGTCAGTATGCAATAATTTGACCTGAGTGACGTAGTATGTCAGTTATTAGTTTCCTACGGTTGAGCTATAAGGTACTGGACTCTGGGTAACCAAGCCTGTCAGTCGGAGTTTGCCGTGCTGAGGCCTGCCTGGCTATGAAAGACACCAACTGAACCAGTGGTGTTCGTAAAGAAAGAAACAAAAAGTTATTGGCTTCTAAAGTGGATTGGGATAGTCCTATAGTTATATTATGAGATTTATAATTTTATTGTAGCAGATCTAGCTAAAACAGTTTTTGTGCGAAACAATTGTTTTTAGTATGACTTTAGTATGACCACGTAACATTGTTCCATTATTGAAAACCTATTCATTCTATAATGTTATTTATTATTTTAACTTGTATATGATTAGATAAATTACATTCGTTTTAGTTTAATATGTATATATAGTATGTATATAGCTTACAGAATTTGAGTGTGATATATTATTGAAAAGATTTTTCTCTCATAATTTTTAAAAAATATATAAAATACTTTTTTAGGAATTTTGAGCTCTGTGATCTTGACATAAGAGTTTTGTGGAATTTTATACATTTTTAATAACACGAAAAAGTTGATTAAATTCTAATATTGCTATCATAGTGTTGTCATTTAAATCTTCTAAAATAACTTTACTGGTCCATACTTGAGGCAGTTGTTACGTCCATAGAGGCCAACTTAAGCCACCTGGGCTACTTTTATGGAAAGGCCAACATGGGGCAGTGGCGGAACTAGAAAAAATGGGCCAAAAAACTAATGTAAATTTTTAAAGTACTAATAATATTGCGCACTATTATGCGCTTTTTTATTCGCGTTCACTTGGTGTGCAATTAATTTGTCTACGAGATTTTATTCTATTTTTAAAACTTTAAGTATTTAAAATGGATTAAAAATCATGTCTAGAAGTCTATAGCCCGAGTTCCCATCCCCTGTTATTTTATATAAGAATATTCGAGAAAGTTTAGGGGAGATCACTCCCGGTTTATTACTTTCTCGTATATACGAAGTATAGAGAAAGTCTTGTAATCGTGCAAAAAATAAAATCGAGATTTTTGCAAATCTCGACGTTTTGCATCTCACTGATACGGAAAAACATAATTTTGCAATCTTGTCCGTATGTCTGTGTGTCTGTGTGTGTGTGTGTCTGTGTGTGTGTGTGTCCGTGTGTAAACACGATAACTTGAGTACCGTTACAGCTAGGTTGATGAAATTTCATATATAAGTATTTTATCAAAATCGTAGATCCGTATCAACTTTTGAGCGATTTCCGACAACCGGAAGTGGTACTTTTTCTACTTTGAATTTTTCAAAAGCCTATAACTTGAGTACTATTTCAGATAGATAAATTAAATTTCACATGTAAGTAAAAGATCTAATTCTCTACCTTCTGTTAAATTTTGAGTAATTTCCGTTGACCGGAAGTAGTAATTTACGCTACTTCCGATTTCTCAAAAAACTAATGTAAATTTTTAAAGTACTAATAATATTGCGCACTATTATGCGCTTTTTTATTTCGCGTTCACTTGGTGTGCAATTAATTTGTCTAATGGAAATGTATACAATACGATTTTCTCGGCCTAAACTTTTATAACTTTTTACTTTATCTAATTAAATTCTAATTAGATTCTAGATATAGATCTAGATCTCGATTCTAGATCTAGACTAGATCTACGGAAAAAACTATACGTAGTCACTAAGATCTGGATTTAGACTATCTACTAAAAACAACATAACTACCATTGAACAGCCGGGTTTTTTGTAGAAATCTTTTAAGTCTCTTAATTTTAAGTCTCTTAATCAGCGAGTGCATTTAATATGGTATGGTTACCGGTGAAGAAATGAACTATTTCATTTAAATCTATAGATCTATTCATAAAAACCTAATAAAAATAAATCACTTTAAAAACAAGAAGAATACCGTGGAATAGCCGAGTTTTTAACGGAATCATTTAAGTCACTTAAGTTAATCAGTGTGTGACTGTGTTATGTTAAATGTGTCGGATTTTTAGCTAATTAGTCATTTCTTTGCTTTGTCAGTAATATCGTTCAGCGTGTAATAAAGCACATTGCGTTTTGACCCTAACTATTTTATAAATTATTTTTCTAAACAAGTTCAACATTTTAAAATATATAGGCCTATGATTCACGTGAAACGGGTACCGATGGCTAGTTCTACTTATAAAAGTTGGAAAATTAAAAATGGATTAAAAATCATTTCTCTATCCCGTGTCACCGTAGTGTTATATAAGAATATATTTTTAAAATAGAATAGTGCAAAATGATATAAACGCTTCTTACTAAAACTTTTTTTAATGAATTTTATTTTCTACTCGATTATATTTTTATAAAAACAGTAATAATGTGTAATTTGGGTTATGTCACAAACTTCTATATTTCTATACCCCGATTGCATTGGAAGGGCTATGCCTGTTTCTGTCATATAAGAACATATCCTATGTAATACGTGCACAATCACGATTTTACAGCCGCATATTGTGTTCGGTTATGCTGGTGTGATCGATGTAGGCCTATATGTTTAGGATTGAAGTTAAACATAATTGGACTAACAGTAGACTATATGGTTAGAGAGTATTTGCTGCTTGTTTTGGCTGTAATAAAATATGTGTAATGCCTGCATGACGCGGCGAAAGCAGAATGACGTAGTAGACAAGAAATAAAGAAAAATGCATGTTTTCGTTGCTTGCACTTATGTAGATAGAATGTTATTTGGTGAATCAACAGAACATTGCAAGAACGTTCTTCTCCTTTGAGTTTTATCGATATAGTAGAGCTTTCACTCAAACTTCGCTAACTATACACATACATATATGGTAATATTTGAGTCGCCTGCCGTCTTACGGGTGAGTAGGCCTATCGCTGAAATGGGTACAAGCCTACCGGTCAGAATATTATTCAGGGGTTGAATACATTTGACTGGGAAGGCGTGTTTGTACAGCGCAGACTGCACTAAGGCTTTTACGTTTAAGGCACAGAAACAGTTATGTTAAGCCAACAGCCACAGCACAAAGTTCTATTGTGAAATTCCTAGATAATTTACGTACGTCTGAAATCTCGAGATGGCTTATGCATAACTATGCTCGCATGGTCGAAGATTACACCTTCTGTTCTGTAGTCAGTGTAGTTCACTGTATTTGAGTTCAACGAGTTGTAAACGACACGTACTTCTGTCTGTCTTAACCACATATATTCTAAAATGAGGGTAAAGAGACAGTGTAGCTTAGCGCGGAGAAAAAAGATACAACTTTCAGTGTCAAAACTACGTTGTGATACGTCGTTTAAAGATGTTGAGAGAAATAAAAACAAGCTGAACATGAGAGTAACACGTTCTTTAGAAAGTTATCTTAGCACAGAAAGAAAGAGGAACAACGACTCAAAGAAACTAGCTAGGACACAAGAGCTTTATCGCACTGCAGAGAAGAAGAGGAACAACGACTCAATGAAACTAGCTAGGACACAAGAGCCTTATCGCACTGCAGAGAAGAAGAGGAACAACGACTCAATGAAACTAGCTAGGACACAAGAGCCTTATCGCACTGCAGAGAAGAAGAGGAACAACGACTCAATGAAACTAGCTAGGACAAAAGAGCCTTATCGCACTGCAGAGAAGAAGAAGAACAACGACTCAAAGAAACTAGCTAGGACAAAAGAGCCTTATCGCACTGCAGAGAAGAAGAAGAACAACGACTCAATGAAACTAGCTAGGACAAAAGAGCCTTATTGCACTGCAGAGAAGAAGAGGAACAACGACTCAATGAAACTAGCTAGGACAAAAGAGCCTTATCGCACTGCAGAGAAGAAGAGGAACAACGACTCAATGAAACTAGCTAGGACACAAGAGCCTTATCGCACTGCAGAGAAGAAGAGGAACAACGACTCAAAGAAACTAGCTAGGACAAAACAAGCATATCGCACCGTAGAGAAGAACAGGAATAAAAACGCAATGAAAATATTAAGAACTAAAGAGGCATATCGTTTAGCTGAGAAAAAGAAAGACCTTCAGTCTAAGACAAGTCTCAGGAAAAATAATGTTTATCGTATAGCTGAACGAGAGAAGAGCAATGGTGCGATACAGTTGAGAAGAGCCCAGCATGATTATCGTGAAAGTGAACGGCTAAGGGACAGAGAACGGAAAGAAAAACGAAGACATGATTATTTCTTTCGCGCTAGAGAAAATTATATCTCCTCTTTAAGAGCGATTGATTCAGTCTGTAGTAAAAATAAACTACAATTCATTAAAGACCGATGTTCAAAGCCAGATAAGGTTTGTTGTTCTTGTGAGGGACTATTTTTCAATCATTCTGTTCTGAAACATCATGACACTTTCCCTACAAAATTTAGCTATGAAGAATGCAGTGCTAAAATATTTAATTATCCTTCAGAATACATATGCCGTACTTGTTACAATCACTCAAGGAAAGGAAAAATTCCGAAAATGGCAACAAGTAATGGCCTGAAGTTTGTAGATATACCAGAGTGTATAAAAAGGTTAACAGTGCTGGAGGAGCGGATGGTTTCCCCATACATCAACTTTATGCAACTCCGACCGCTGAAAGCATATGCTATAAATCCACAAATAGGCATGAAAGGAAGTGTAGTCAATATCCCGATAGAAATCGACGACATGGTTCAAGTGCTACCGCGTGCTTTTGATAATTTAGCCACGGTACAGATTAAGTTAAAACGTCATATGCTGCACAAATCGCACTATTTGTTTGAAACTGTTCGACCAGCAGTAATTTGTGATGTTTTGGATCAGTTGGTGAAGACGCCGTTATATCGTGCCAACAGTATTTCTATCGACAGAACGTACTTCGAACGATATGCCGATTGTGGTATTCAAACTGCCATTGATTTTGTACTTGACGATAAAGACAAGGACTGCGTTCAAGCAAGCCAAATATCAGATAGCGGAAGTGCTAAGAAAATACGTACGGAAAATGTTGATTTTCACGAAGACAGCGACGACGGAAACTCTAATGATGAAGTGGACGAAGAAGTCATGATAGTAGATCGAAATAAAGAAATGGTCGACAACGTGCAGGTGTTCGCTCCAGGTCAAGGCAAGCTACCGGTTCCTTGGCATGCAGTAAATGACATAGATGAATTGTGTTTCCCCAAGATATATTTCGGTCACAAATTTTACACACCTAAGAAATTTTCCTACAATGACAGGGTTAAATTCGAAATTCGCCATAGAGACAGACGAGCCTGCATCCCAGCAAGACTGCTGTTCATGGCAAAGAAAAAATTAGAAATGACTGCTCTGGCAAGTGTTAATATGTGTTTAAGGAAAACAAAGGTGACGCATGGAATGAACGTTAAAAATGCGCTTGATAAAAATTATCTCGATAATCTAATGAAATTAGATGAAGGATACAAAATCCTTAAACAAGTAAGATCATCTCCATCATACTGGGAAACTAGGAAAAAAGAGTTGATGGCAACAGTTAGACAACTTGGCAAGCCAACATTCTTTTTAACAATATCTGCAGGAGAAACAAGGTGGCCGGAATTGATTAAGTCTCTATCCGCGCTACAGGGATCACATTCAACATTGGAAGAAGCAACAGCCCTCAATGACTACCAGAAGACTGATCTTATTAAAAACGACCCAGTTACGTGCGCGCGGTATTTTAACTATAAGATGTCTAAACTAATGTCGTTGCTAAAAGAAGGATCCATTTTTGAAAAAAACACCGTCGAAGATTTCTATGAAAGAATCGAATTTCAAGTGAGAGGATCTCCACACGAACACATCTTCTTGTGGCTTACAGGTACCCCAGTGTTTGATTCAAAGAATGTTGATTCCATTAAGGAATGTGTAGGATTTATTGACAAGTTTATCACCTGCGAGTATAAAGAAGACGATCCGTTTGTGCAGCTTCAGATGCACAAGCACTCTCATACATGCTACAAAGGAAAAAGGAATAAAAGCAAGTGTCGATTTAACTTCCCCATGCCCGCTATGCCGAAGACAATGATACTGGAGCCATTAGCCGAGGATGAAATTGATGACTCATTCAAAGAACGATTGACAGCACTTCGAAAGCTAATGGTATATTATTCGAAGAGCAGAGATGACATACCATTTGAAGAGATTCTTAAGACTTTGAATATGTCTGAAGAGATGTACATTTCTGTTCTCAGGAGCTCACTTAAAAGGCCGCAAGTGTATCTACGAAGAAAGAGCACAGAAGTTAATATCAATGGGTACAACCCAGATATCCTGCATCTTTTCGAGTCCAATATGGACCTACAATTTGTTTTAGAAGAATATGGTCTTGCTTCCTATATTGTAAAATATGTGAGTAAAATTGATAGTGGGCTATCAAAAATATTACGTGATGCAGCGTCGGATGCCAACAAAGGAAATAAGAGCGTAAAGGAGAAATTTAGAAAGATCGCAAACGTTTTCCTGAATAGCAACCTGATGTCCGCCCAAGAAGCAGCATATCATGCCTTGTCAATGCCTTTGTCAAAATGTAGCCGCAAAACTGTATACATAAACACCAGTCCTAGGCTGGAAAGAGCCAGGATGTTAAAAACAAACGCACAACTTCAAAGTTTAAATGAAGACTCAACAGAAGTCTATATGAAAGACTTATTTCAAAAATATAGTGAACGACCGCAACAGTTAGAAGACGTTTGCCTGGCAACATTTACATCTGAGTATGTACCGATTAGGAGGGAAGCAGAATTTGATGAAGATAAAATTTATTTTGAGGAATCAAAAGAGTACAGGCGTAAGAAAAAACCAGCCGTGATAAGGTACAGACGGTACAAACTTCAGCAGGACAAATCAAATTACTTCCGAGAGCAATTACTGCTATTTCTGCCTTGGCGTAATGAGTTAAAAGATATAGAACAAGTCAATTGTGAGCAGCTGTACAGAGACAGTGTGGTAAAGATAGAGGATAATAGGAAAAAATTTTCAGCAATTGCAGATGAAATTTTAGATGATGCTTTGGAAAATGCCAAACAACAGGTTGCAGATATAGAGGAAGAGGAAGCCTACGAATTTATAAAAGAAAAACTTTCACCAGAACATAATGTGGACATTCTGCAGCAAGGAGGACAGGAAACCCCAGTTAATAAGAATCAAAATCGATACAGTGTTCCGAATAGAGTGCCACATGAAGACATATGTTGCTTGTTTTCCCGTCTGAACGAGGGACAGAAAGACTTCGTCTTCCACATCCTCAATTCCTTCAAATTGAGAAAAACTCCCTTCTATATCTTCCTGAGTGGATCGGCAGGGGTTGGAAAAAGTACAGTCATTAGGTGCCTTTATCAATCCATAACAAAATATTTTGATTCACAGCCAGGTGCTTCGGGAGACTCCATCTATGTTCTATTGTGTGCACCATCTGGGAAAGCTGCATTCCTCATTGAAGGTGTTACCCTGCATACTGCTTTCGCATTACCCATATCTCAATTTGGTGGTTCAATGCCTCAGTTATCGTCAGAAGTTGCCAATACAATTAGGGAAAAATTATTCAACATTAAACTACTGATCATCGATGAAATTTCTATGGTCGGAAGCACACTTTTCAGTCGAGTTGACTCTCGTTTGCGCCAAATAATGGGAGACAACAAACCCTTTGGAGGGATATCAGTTTTACTTGTCGGAGATTTGAACCAGCTACCACCAGTTATGGATTCCCTAATTTATAAGGTGGACAAAAGCAACGAATTTTGGGAATTAATGGATCGAAATCCCCTTTGGGATCTATTCACCTTCTACGAATTGAAACAAATAATGCGCCAAAAGAATGAAATTGAGTTTATTGAAGCGCTGAATGCATTAGCGAGTGGACACATGGTGCAAAAACATGTTGAACTGTTCAAGTCTAGGCAAGTGTCGCCGTCAGCAGTACCAAACAGCGCAATCAGATTGTACGGTGAAAATAAATGTGTCGATATTTATAACCAGGAAAGAATTAAAAGTCACCCGGGACCACATTACATTTCCACTGCTAAAGATTCCATTTTAGGAAAACTCTCAGAGGCATCAAAGGAAAGTATACTGCAGGGACTAAAGAAAAAAAAATTAAGTGAAGTAAATGGCCTACCACACAGCATCATTATAAAACTAGGAATAAAATATGCTATAACAACGAACATTGACGTAGAAGATGGTCTCGTTAACGGAGCGTGCGGAGTCCTAAGGCTGATAACATTCGATAATGACGACAGCCAAGTACCAAAAATACTCTGGTTAGATTTCTCCACACACAACGTTGGTAATAAGGCAAAGATGGCTCACAAACGGCTCATAGATGACAATAACCTTGACTCACATTTAGTGCCCATAAGGAAGGTTTGTGTTCCGCTGAATATTTCAAATAAACTTCAGTACCCGACATTAAGAACTCAATTCCCCATGGTACCCGCAGAAGCAATTACCATTCACAAAAGCCAAGGACAGACATATGAACAGGTGGCGTTAGATTTCAACGAAATAAAAAGGATAACAAGGCCTTTGCTGTATGTAGCTTTAAGCAGAGTTTCAAGCATCACAGGATTGTACATTGTTGGAGACTTTAGGATCCCAAAACAATCGACGCATGAGGACCCAAGCCTGCAAGAGCTCTACAGACTAAGGACAGCTAAGTCTTTAAATTTGCCACTCCGTATATTTAAAGACTCAACAGGATTCAAAGTAGCATATCAGAATGTGTGCTCTTTAACGAATAAATTACAATACATTAAAGGGGACAATTGGTATTTTCAAAGCGACTTACTGATATTTTCCGAAACGTTGGCATCTGAAACCGAAGAATTTGTCCTTGATAACTATAAAGTGTTATTTCGGAGTGATCCACACTGTGGTACTAGAGGTATCATTTGTTTCGCGAAACACAGTCTTAGTGGTGTAAGTGATGTCATACATGACAGAATTGAAACTGGCACAAACTATCATGTAGAATTATATGCGGTTACTATCTGTAGAATGACCATCATTACTGGATACAAGTCACCTAGCACGCCAGTCAGTGTGTTTCGAACAACTTTCCATACGTTATTGAGTAAGGTCAAATTTGTTGAAGAAATTGTTGTGATTGGAGATCTGAACTTCAACATCTTAAACAATGCCAGTAGTGACTTGCATGACTTTTTCAAGCAGTATAAACTTACATCTGCTTTACCATTGGAAATCCCAACCACCGATTTGAATACACAAATAGACGTCATATTTTCAACAACTTCAGTCCTTGCTGGAGTGTATGAAACGTACTTCTCTTACCATAAGCCTGTATGTTTTATATTCAATGACAATAAAATTTCTTACCAAAAGAAAATACCAGACTCTATCACCACGATCGCTCCTCCAAAAACAGTAAGGCGAATTGAAGATGAACTAAGACCACCATTCAACATACCTTCTGAAAAATACGTTATTAACACCTGCAAGGACCTTAAATCAAACGAAATGTGTACACTATCAGATTCTAAACTAAACGTATTTCTGTCGGCAAACAGTTCTCAAGCTCCAACATGCGTATCGAACTTTCAAGGTTTGTTTATTCAGGTACAAACTATTCTCAACTATTTTGATAGAAAGAGAGGTAGCACATCTGAGACTGATCTCCATAGTGCTAGTGCTGATATTAAAAATGAAACATTGCAAAACCTCTTGAGTGTAATAAGTCCTTGCAAGGTACAAATCCAACATGAAATTATTCGCCTAAGAACTCACGCTAGAGCAGAATATGACCCATCACTGGCAGCAGATGAAGTTAAGGGATACTACAGGAAAGGAATATGCCACGGATTTTTATCTCATTTCTTCGTATGCGAAACACGAGCCGACGGTAACTGTTTCTATAACGCGTTGTCTCTCTGCATGGTTCAATCAGAAGCACAGGCACAGAACATTCGCTTGCTCATAGCATCATACCTGCTGCTTAATGCGACAGTACATGAAAAGCTTATCCAGATGACTCACGGAGAATTCTCTCATAGGTTGGATCATCTATATGTTTGCTTCAAAAACTACATCTGGGCCGGCGACGTCCAAGCGTATGCTGCTGCCTTAGTTTTTGACCGATCTATTATTATGATAGGTGGTCTTGACCAACAGTTCCACCAATTCTCTGAAATACAGCACTTATCTTCTAAAGAGTTATTACAGTGGCTCTCTCAAGCCACCTGGAGAAGTTCAGAAGTGGTGGAAACTGATTCATCAAAAAGAAACGGGCGAGAGCCCATATTCATACTTCACCAGGTGAATCATTTCATGGCCATGCTACCACGAACTGACTCAGTCGCAGACCTTCAGTTCCTTCCCCCAGCGGTTGTGAATCTTAACAACATTTCCATTGAAAAATATAAGATATGTGGAGTTGATTATGAATTTTCTCCTCCATAACAACTCACTGAGTCTAAACAACTTAGTTTTTCAATTGTGTATGTATCTCTTTGTGTGTGTATGTACGTGTGTGTGAGTGTGTGTGTTTGTCTGCCTGCCTGCCTGTGATAATTTTATATCATACTGATTAAAGCAGCATGATGTAAGAACTTTTCGTCTACATGTGTATTCTTTAAAACAAAATTATCGGATTTGTAACAAAAGTTTATATTTCTTTAGGGCCTAGCCCAAAACATTATTGCTATATACTATATATGAATATACGAGAAAGTTTAGGGGAGATCACTCCCGGTTTATTTTGTCTTGAAATTTTTCTCTTTCATTTTTTTTTTTTTTTTGAGAATTTAAAGTTAAAAGGTTTCAGGGAATTCCCAAGTTTATCATGAATTAATATAGAAAAAAAAACTTCTCTTGATAAAAGACATAGAAAGATACAAAAATAGATTGAAGTGTAACTGGATCACATTACATTAAATCTGGGCTCAAAATGTAACGTGGGAAATGGGCACTCAGACGTTACATTCTCTCCCTAATTTTATGTCATACGTTTCTAGAATTTATTACACATCTAAATACTTGTCTTTAAATATAATAAACACTATCAATTAAGAACACGGTGGGACCAGTCTTTGATCTCAGACTGGTTTCTAGAGTATTCCATTTCCGGTTACTGGTACTTCACAGGTTTGTCGGTATGTAGGTTACAGCATGGAGTCTAGGAGTTGTCGTTTTACTTTGTCCGATTCTGGGTTAGTGATGTTGCTATTTGTCCATTTCTGGGCAAGTGATATTTTAATTTGTCCTTTTCTAAGCCGGCGATATTTATATTTGTCCTTTTCTAAGCCGGTGATATTTATATTAGTCGTTTTCTAAGCCGGCGATATTTATATTTGTCCTTTTCTAAGCCGGCGATATTTATATTTATCCCTTCCTCAGCTGATGATATTTTTAGTATACTTCTCAGCTAGTGATATTTATTTTGTCCTATTCTCAGCAAAGAATGTTTTATTTGTCAACTTTTTAGCAAGCGAAACGTCAAATTGTCCATTTCTCGGGCAGTGTAGATTTTGTCCAGTCTTCGACCTCTTGACCGTCTATTTACGACCTGATCTAATCAAACGACTTGTCTAAAAATACCAACCAATCAGCAACAATCCCAGACACTAATAACGCTTAAATTCTGTTGTTAGCTCAGGAACTGGTCATTAGCTAAGGGTAGACACAAGTCGTGAGAGGAGGGGGAGGTGGGGGTGGGGGTGGGGGTGGGGGTGGCTGCTACCTACCAATATACCAAATATCTTAGGGTCAGCCGAACCTAGTTTGTTGTGAACGGATATCGATTAATCGATCTATACACGATGTAGATCAGTTGGGATTTTATACACTTACTTAGGTAAACAATATCAGTAAGAATATATTTTCCAGATATGCTGCACTCACGCACACCTTTTTTTAGATTTCTCTTGTTGTTTCTTTCATGTATCTCATGGTAAGGTGTAGGGTTGGGGGGGGGGGGTGGCCTCCTTAGAATGCCCACCGCCATCTCCCTCCCCCCTGATGAACTAGATAACAAACATTTATACAGAAAATATATACTTTAACGATTTTACAGTAACGGAAATTTTGAGTGCACCCTTCCTTGAGAAACGAAAATGTCTGAAAGAAGTCCTCCTTGCTCCAAATCGGGGTGAACGTTTACCGTAATATTTGTTTTTTTACAAACAGGCAAAATTTTTAAAATGTCAAAGTTAAAAAAAAAAAGAAACTACTCCAGTTTCTCTTCTAAAACTGCTCCGTATAGCTCTGATTGTCCTGCTTAAATAAAACAAACCAATTGAATTTAAAAACAAAAACGGAAATGCCACCCATACGTCATAAAACAATGATTTGAGATTTGAACAAGCAAGGCATAAATAGAAATGCTATGATATGCAGGTATATTGATTTGGTGTGGACGAAAACACACTCGCCGGTCATGAAGATTAAATATTAGTGAACATTGATTGGTCGCAGGAAGTTTTTTTTGTACGAGCGAAAATTTCTTTCGGTACCTTATAAGTTCCGTTACGTGACGTCAGACAACTCAACTGCGAGGTTATCACGTGATTCCGTGCACGCGAGCCTAGTGTGAGAAACGTCACCATAGTGTGTGACACGTCATCATATTGTGTGACACGTCATCATCTTGTATGACACGTCATCATATTGTGTGACACGTCATCATATTGTGTGACACGTCATCACTCAGGTGACCTAGGCCACCGCGCGACAAAAATCTGGTCAAAAACTTGTTGACTCTGGATGAAGAGCTCTACCAACGACTGACGGCCATCTTGAAGCATGCGCGAACGGGAGTGAAGTGTATGGTTCGCGACGAGAATTGTCTAATGTCGAGTAACTAGTCAATTAGGTAAATTAGACTTCGTCAGACATCTCGACTTAATTAGCAAAATAGGATTTCCCGTCGCGTCGGCTATATACATAAAAATAAAAGTATGTTGATTTTTGTGTGTGTCTGTGTGTGTGTCTATGTGTGTCTGTTTGTGTGTGTCTGTGTGTGTGTGTCTGTGTCTGTGTGTGTGTCTGTGTGTCTGTATGTGTCTGTGTGTGTGCCCTTTGTGTATGGCTGCACCTTTCATCTAGTCGCCGTGAAGCTTTAGTTAGTTGATAAAAATACTTCCTGAATGGATAGGGAATTTTATTGAAATCTTAAACTCTGCTAAGTATCTACTCGTTTCGTACTTACTACAGTAATACAATCTTGCCCAATTAGGCCCCTATACACGAATGCAGTTCTTCTAGTGTGTTTAACTATTGAGTGTTACATTTAAGAACGAATATTAAAATTAATAAGAGATAACGACAAATCTATATTTGCAATTCCCCCCCCCTAATATTTCTAAAAAAAATAAAAAATAAAAAATAAAAAAAATAAAATAAAAATGGAAACTGCATTAAAGTATGTCATTTTTTTCACTGTACACGATCTAGATCTGGCTATTTATAGATCCCATGTTGCTGTTTTATTGACAGAACCACAATATCATGAATTATAGAAAGCTACAAGAGACAGCTGAAACAGATCATTCCCTCAGGCTCGGCCATAATCCCTATATAACATTACTGTAAGCCATCTGTACTCTCTTGTTTGGGTGGGGAGGGGGGATTTTGATCAGAGGTTACCTCCATGATGTGTGACGTCACGACAAGAAACATGACGCCCACGGCTTATGAACACATGCATGATTGATGCTGGGAGACGGGTATCACGTGACGGCTGCTAAGAGAAAAGTTATTTCATTCCGTGGTCCGGTTTACTAGTGGGCTAATTATGGTCCAGATTTCAAGGGTGGCACGGTTAGCTTAGCGGTCTGGCTAAGTAAGTATTCCGGCAAAAATCAGTAATCCGGCTTACGGGTTCGGCTAATTCAGTGGTCCGATAATCAGTGTTCCGGTTAACTTATTGATCTGGCTAACTCAGTGGTCCGGCTAGCTCAGTGGTCCGGCTAGTTTAGTGATCCGGCTAATTCAGTATTCCGGCTATCTCAGTGGTCCGGCTAAATCATTAGTCCGGCTTACGGTTCCGGCTAACTCAGTATTCCGGCTAACTCAGTATTCCGGCTAACACAGTGATGCGGCTAACTCAGTGGTCCGGCTAACTTAGTATTCCGGCTAACCCAGTGGTGCGGCTAACTCCTTACCACGTGTCAAACAGATCTGGCTACCGACCTTGTTACCACGGCGCTGATTGTGTTTCTCACCCGACTGGTCAATGATTGATGCACGTGCTACTGGGGTGTACTCACGCCGCGCTGATCCGTGTGCCCGTGCGTTACCCTCTAGAGATTGATTGGTGTTTGTTTTTTTAAAGACCTGCTCAAGAATTAGGGAGAGGCGGGGGTGGGTGAAGTGGGGGTGAAATGCCCTAAGATTATTAGTGTTAGTCCCGAGAGTGCACCAAGGTGTAACACAGTTCACAGCGGTTTGCTGTCGTCTTCTGTTTCTGTCAAAATATCTCGCGCGTAGAACTTTTTTGTAAGGGCAAATAACAATGGTGTTTTTTAATGGGAGGTAATTATATAATTAAACGATAAAAAGATAAGAAAAAAGAATTAATACATATTGAAACAAAATCAAGTAAACAAACGTTAGTATTAATTATAAAAAAATTAATTACAAGGAGTGTATTTAAAACTTTTGGTGATTTATAACAATATGTTATTCACAACTCCAAGTTATTGTTAGTTGCTAATCCAATAATAAGTAGTCGATAGTATCAAGCAGTTGTAATATTTAAACCAAGAAAATCGATTAGGCATTGTTTGTAGTGGCGTGCCTTATCGCAAATTTATATTAATTTGTATCTGTTACCCAGTACTTGTATTGGGTGGCTTCAAATGTATGAGTGGCTAATTTTTATTTTCTATTTTCAGCCATATAACACCCAACAACTTCGCGATTACTATGACGACAACTAACTATTACAACATTATCCGGTTTTTAAAGAGCCACTAACATTTTTATGTCAATAGTATATTTGTTTACGAATATATATATATATATATATATATATATATATATATATATATATATATATATATATATATATATATATATATATATATATATATATATATAATCCTAGACAAATATCATACTATATATATATATATATATAATTTAAATATATATAAAATAATCTTATTTGATTTTGTGTTGAGAGGATCTACTATGTAAGTCAGGGTACTTGCATTTGTTTCGAATAGCTCGAATCTCTCAGTGAAAACATTTTTCGTTTTGTTTATATTATATTATTGCTGAAGTGATTGAATAGTAGCTTTGGTTTCATAACGATATTTTTCTCAGTTTTTCGTAATTAAGTAATTTACCGCTCACAATGTATTTAACACAACAGTATTTTTTTTCGAAACAAACCACTTCTTCAAGCAAGACATAGGCTGGGTTTTTCTTTCAGTTTTAAAGCTGGTTTAGTTTCTTTG